CTGCAAGCATTTTGTAAAGCATAGGGGAGACTTTAGGTCTAATTCTTAAAGTGGTCATGGCCCGAGTTACCATTGTGTGTGGGGGAGTATTTTAACTAGGATTCCAGGCTCTACTTTAGGCAGCCGGAAACTAGGTTTGGTTTTTTTTTTGCCAATTAATAACTTAGAAATTAACTACCCGAAGTGTTGGAGCATAAGCTTTCGTGGGCATTATGCATCTGACGTCTCATGCATCTGACGAAGTGGGTCTTTGCCCACGAAAGCTTATGTTTCAGCACTTCGGTTAGTCTATAAGTGCCACAGGACTCCTCACCGCTTTTGCAGATTCAGACTAACACGGCTACACCTCTGATACTTAGAAATTAACTGACAGGAGTACCTATCTAATTCCTATTATAAAGAAAGGAAAATATATGCAAACACCAATTAAAGCCATATGTTCATATGTAAGTTTAAAACAATCAGGAGATGATACAGCAAGATATTCCCAAGCCTTTAGATATCAGTTTTGAGCCTTACTACAGATATCAAAAACCTAATTTATTTTGTACACTATCTGTAGTATATATAAATAAAAATAAAATATGCTTACTTTTTCTAACAGACACCTCTGTCACTACCATTATCTACTCTATTTTAGTAATTTTTTTCATTCCACTAAAAGCATATTTACTTAACTTTAACCTACATGATTAAGATTTTTCTTTTTTTGAGAATGTAAATGTATTTAATTCTTTTGACACGTATATTTATCACAATCATATATGGAACTCACTAACATTTGATTCCATCACTGCTCTTAGTATCAGACTTGGAACCACATTTACTTTTGCATGAATTTTAAGTTATTTTACAGATATGCTGTATGTATACAGTTTGAAAATAAGTAACTATTTGCACAGTGTCTATAGTTGTATGGTTACTAGCTAATTTTTTTTTTTAACTGGCAGGGCTTAGGTGAGTACAAGCTACATTTATATTCTAGAATGACACTTATTTGATGGTAACGTTTTAAATAATGAATTACAAAGCACAATAATGGTTATAACAGTAAGAATATTTACTCCATCCAGGTTAGATTTGGTATTTTAGAACTCACTATTCAAAGGGCACTACCAAATAACTACAATGCAGGTATGTGTAAGTAAAAGGGGAGAGAGAATGAGGGAAGATGATTTTGTGTTTGTCTCTACTACTGTCTCTTTAAGCTGAGCTTTCAGGAGTCTGAAAGCTCTCAGTATGACACCCCTCCTCCACAGCACATACTTCTGAGGCCGAGGCACGACCCGCGCAGACGCTCTCTCTTCCCTTCTAAGCGGGACTGGGAACACTGAGGGGGAAACCGACTCTGCACAGCAGATCAGAAGGCGGACTCCTGGACCCGATCGGCTTGGGCACCAGCAGCTCCATTGATGGGTGGAGGGTCAGGGCAGGTGCCTGCAGCAAAACCGGGCTTTTTTTTGGAGGGGGGGATCATCTCCCTCTTCCTGCAAATTTCATCCAAATGTTGTAGGAAACTCGGGGAAGGTGAGCAGGTGCCCTCTCTATCCTCGCTAAAGGGTGCTTCTTATGATATCTGACAAGATAAAGGAAAACAATCCCAGCAGGTGGATGCTAGCAAAAGAGCTCCCAGTCCCATTTTTCTCTCTGAAAAAATTCATAACCAATTCAGTCTCTCTGTAAAATACATCTAACGGAAATACAAGAGCAAAGTGCATTCGAGGAAGAAAAGCCATTTGTACACACGGGGCATAAACATGATTTGTTGCAGAAGTAGCAATTCTTCCTTGTTTTGGACTAACCTAAAGATCCAATTACATATTGATGGTCCTAAGCGCCGTACAGAATACACTTCAGGCCTGGGATACACTTCAGCAGGCACCTAGCAGCTTTTTATAACAAAGCCAACTTTAACTTGGTGGGTACACAGTGTCTTGCGTGGTCCCTGGCTCTTTAAGCAGAGACTATGACATCATCTGACTACAAGTCCCAGCAAGTACCCAGCTCTGCTATTACTACCACCCCTTAAGCTCCAGGCTCAGCAACGCGTGACGTCAGGGAGGAAAGAGATGCTTCCCATTGGTAGAGAGGCTAGCCAGAACCACGCCTGCTAAATTCGGTCTAGACCAGTCAGATGAGAGGAGTTTGTCTCCATGTGGAAACCATGTGGCTCCTACTGGAAGGAGGAGTTTAGGATTAACTGAGGAGGGGAGCAGGCTGTGATACAAACAAGGAGACAGAGTGCACCTGGAGCAGCAGTAGCAGGATGGATTGTGGCCTGAAAAGAAATTTTGAAAGCGGGAGGAGGATAGGAAAAAGAGAGGACACACTCAAGAAGCCCACCATCTATGTCTTGTTACAAATAATAAACCCTCACCCTACTAGAAATACCGTCACCCTACTTAGAAAAAAATATATGCATGTTTCAATGACCACATACTTTGGTGTAGATTTAAATATTTTCCTGGGAGCCTTGCAACCGCAAACATTGGCAGCACTGAACTAGTGCCTCAGGAACAAGCAGTGAAATTGGCATCCTCATTTTCATGTACAAACAGCAAAGAGTGAACCCAAAAGTAGAAAAAGGAAACCCATTGCTCTCTTCTCATCATATGGAGTATCACTAACAGGAAAGGTAACAGAGAGGTAGCTGTGTGACGTCTGTTTCAGCAAAAACAACAAGGACTCTGGTGGCAATTTACAGACTAAGAAATGTATTAGGGCATAAGTGAGTTGTATCTCAGAAAAGCTTATGTCCTAATAAATTGCATTAGTTTTTGAATGCCACGGGACTCCTTGTTTTTACAGAAAAGGTGGTTGCTTTGTGTTTTCTTAACTCAAATGTACTAGTTGCAGCTGTAAATGCAGAGAGGGGATTTTTGTGTTTTTTTTAATTAATTTGATAAAAATTAACTACAATATAAGTCTTAAAATTAAAAATTGCTCCCTTTTAAAAAAAGTACTATCTGCAAATTGTTAGCCACATATTAGGATTTTAAGCAAGCCGATTCCCCAGCGCATGTAGAATGTATTTAATGCTTTAATGCAGACTGTCTCTGCAGAGATACCTTCTCCTCCCTCCAGAGAGGCGTTAGGGATGAAGGTGGCTGCAGTTTAACATTTAATATTTCAAATGCATAATACTAGATAATTCCTACAGCCTTTCAGGAGATGCCCCAGATCTCTCAGCAGACAGTGGCTGTAACAGTATTTTGCACTTTGTCATGCCATATATAGAGAGACCAGAGAAAAAATATCAGGGGAATTTTGTGACTTCAGTTGTCAAGTCCCTATTTCTGGATCATAGTTGCACAAATGTATTAATCCTTCAGCCTGTGCCCCTCTCATCATGTTTTGAGTCACAACAAAATGAAGAAAGAATAATTAAAGCCGGGTCAAAAATGGGTGGATAGTCAGTTTGTGTTGTCGAGAACTGCATGCAGTTTGCCCTGATCAGAGATTGGAAGGCAGGTCTGAGCCAGTTATACTAGTTAGTTGCACTACCATCTGCGCTAATGAAACCAAGTGACCAATAAAGTGATTAACCTCGATCTCTCCAAGTCCTGTATATAGCGACAGCCACCGCACACATTTTTCTACTGGCTACCTGGCTGACTAGTTTTGCTTCTTGCCTACGTGACTGTCCCCATGCGTAGGGGAGAGAGCGAGAGAAAGAAAAACAAGGACGTATCGCTTAGTTAACTGCACTATCCTTCCCCCACTTTGGTGACTCCCGTACACTGGGGGAACGGGTCAAGATCAATATAAAACCTTGTTTTGGGGGAACGAAACTGGTTTTGTACGCACCTCCGCCTTGTCAAAGAACTACTTTCATTGATGGCAAGGTATTAGCTAACATTCATTGATTCCACCATCAAGCTTCCGTTGATTCCAAGGCATTAGCCTCCCCCCCTTCTTAAAAAGCCCTATTACACCATCCTTTTAGGAAACAATTCTTTATTTGCACACACTTCCCCCGCTCCACTATAAAAGAGACTGCGATCAACAAAGGCTTTGGCTGATTAATTGCGATGGAAACACGAAGATTTTTCGGGGGAAGGGAGAATCATCTGTATGAGGGACATTTCCCCAAACCACATAATTCCTCCTTAAATACATAACAACTTAATTCAGAAGGGAGCTAAGCTTTGGATTGGGTTTCTTTTTAATCATTGCAGAGGCTGACATGGTGCATCTGATCATTTATTCTCTTCCTACGCTGACCTTCAGTGTTGTGAGGCTAGATTAAGCACCAGGCAGCCTATTTATTTCCTACTGTTACTGTCTATTAGTTGTACTCAGAAACGTTGCAAACGCGTGAATCGTTCTGAGTTATTTCTTTTTTGCTGACGAGTACATTACCGAAGGAGGTGGTAGAGATGGAAATCCCTTACTACATATAAATTCCCCACACCCTCAACACACGCTAATTTGTTATTCAGTTCAGACTGCTTTAAAAAAATCAGGAAAAGGGAAATAAAAGCGTTCGCTTAGTTTTGGGGGAGAGTTGAAATATGCTCCAGATATTTAATTAACCTCTGGAACTGTTTATAATTTGGCTTCCTACTTGATCCTAAAGTTTGCTTCAAACTGGACCCTCTGTTCAAAGCTTAGTTTAGTCCATTTTTGATGCATTAGCCTTTGTATTTATCGGACTACAATTTAGGATGAAAATATGCTACTGAATATTTCGCCAGTGTTCTTGGGTCTCTAAAAAAATAATTAAAAAAACCCCATCACCAAAGCTACTGTAACCTAAGCACATGATTTTAAACGAGGAAACTCGGTGCATTTTGAAATGGTTGCTCCCCTTCCCCCCCTCCCCTTCCAATATCACTGTCTGGTTGTCATGAAACTAACAGTTTAGTCTCGTCTGGCAGAGCCCAAGCAGCTTTCTCTCTTTGTTACATCTTCACACGCATTTTCTGTTGTCATCAAACACTCCTGCCGTTTTTCCCTTTAAGGAAAAATAGAAAGGGGGGAACCAAAGCAAAACTTACTTTTATTCTCCTTCTCGATTTTCTCCAAGTAGCTGGCTGCTTCTAGCAAGATCTGCACATTCTGAAGGAAAGTGTTGATCTTTTCCATGGAGTCCCCACTACTGTTAAAAATGTCACTGAATGGGCACCTGGACATATCTGCTGCTGTCATTTCTTGCTGCTGACCTAAAGGAGGATCCAAAACATCTGTCTCGCATTTCAGTTCTTTCCTCGGCCGGCCACGTTTTCCCATTGCTTTTCGAAATGCAAACTTTAAATTTTAAACCTCTTTCCCCGACTTTTCCGTTTCTCTGTCCTTGTTGCAGTTTGTGTATATGTGTGAGAGAGACACTGAATGAATCAAGGGACCTCCTGACTTTGAGGCTCCGTTGTGGTCCTAGTGCTAGTTGCGTTCTAAACAATAAAGGTGAATGACCAGGGTGACTTGGTTTTATTTTAAACTGCTTTTCACTCGTCATTTCAATGAATGAAAATGTTCTCTGGGCAGATAGCAATTACATCACCAGGCCCTGTAAATTCACACTAGACTACAGTAGTATTAACCCAGCTTCCAGTGAAAACAACTAGGGGGCAAAGAATAGTGGGCTAAGGTGGGGGCCAGTTTGCTCCACTTCCCACAGCTGAGTGGCTGGGCTGGGAGATGGCTAGCAGAGCAGTGCAGGCTGCAGTGTTGCTCCCCTTCCTATGGCTCCTGCTGCTGCAATGAGTCAGGGGAAGCCCCAGCCCCCATTATCTTCCCACCTCAGGCCCCAGGTCTGGGCCCCACAAGTTAACATCTAAATGAGGGACAGTTCAAAACACAGAATATGGGGTGGCCCAAACCATCCTATGGATAAGACCAACAAAAATCAGATTCCAATTGCTTCTGCTCTTTGGCTACTAAAGGTTACTGCTTTGCCTTGCCTTTTGAGGCACAGGTTGACTCTTATGACAGTGCTCAGACTAATGGTACTCTGGTCAGAGCTGGCAGCCTGGCACCTCCAGCGTCTTACTACTGTACTGCATAGCAACTGTGTATTTTCCATCCCAGAGCTGTCTGCATTCTAGTGGTGTTTGTATGATGCCTAGCACAATGGGCCCCCAATTTATCAGTGGCTTCTTTGTGCTATCACAATAGAACTCACGCTTACTAACAACATAGAGTGTGAGAAGCATGTTAGAATGTTGTACTTTATCAACAAAACAATTCTTAGATTTAGAACAATGTTTCCATGCATACTATTGTTAAATGGCATCTTTCTTCCTTCTTTCATTGATACCTCTGCTCACACACCTGCTCTTCCAAACTTGTGCTTCTTCAATTAAATTGGGCAATAACTTTTTTTTTGGGGGGGGGGGGACGATTCCATCTGTTCTAGCCAATGAGAGTGAAGAGATTATGCCAGGGCAGGGGCAGCGTGCATGAAGCCTCCACCCGGGCACTTGGCACAGAGCAAGATATGAAGCAACGAGCTACTTTGAGTAGCTTGGGGCTGCTCCCTGCCTCTGTGTCCTGGTGTGGCAGGCCACAGGGTGGATTCAAAGACTTGGTGGGCTGGATCGGGCTCATGGGCTGTATTTTGCCCACCCCTGGATTACATGCTACTTTTATTCTCAGCTTTAAAATAAACTGTACAGATAAATACTACCTAGGGACTAAATTGAGAGCATCACATTTATTAAGTGGGGGAAAGGGTGGTACATGAGCACACTAGAACAGCTTGGCCAGCATTTTCAAAGCAATTAGTGATCTTGGGTGTCTCCATTTTAGGGTGTCTGATTTGAGCCCTGTTTTTCAGGTGCTCAGCTGCTCTCAAGATACAATCATTCAAACACTTACACACCTAATTGCACTACTGACAGCTGTAGAGCTATCCTTTTACTGAAATCTGTATGCTTGTTTGATAGGTCACTTAGGTCCTGATCAGGCAAGGTACTTAGTATGTACCTAACTTTACCCATTCTGGTAGTTCCATAGACATAAAGTGCTTAAAATTAGGCATATGCTTAAGTAACTTGCTGAGAGGTTAAGGGAGTTAGTTTTTAAAATATTTGCTATTACTACATAGAAATGATGAGTCTTGTGGCACCTTAGAGACTAAAGCTATGTCTACACTCATGGCTTCTTGTGCAAGAACATCTTGCGCGAGTGTTCTTGTGCGCAAGAAAACGTCCACACTGCCACGTGTGAGCTGTGCTTTTGCACAAGAGCGCCCATGGCAGTGTGGCCGCTCTCTTGCGCAAGAAAGCTCTGGTGGCCATTTTAGCCATAGGGCTTCCTTGCACAAGAAATCCCTGCTGAATGTCCACGCTGCCCTCTTGCGCAAGAGGGCTTACACCTGTCAAAAAAGAGCATAGCTCTTGTGCAAGGAGCCCTCCCTTACCACGCCGTACTGTAAATTTACTTGCGCAAGAGTGGGCGGGCAGTGTGGACACTCTGCAGATTCTTGCGCAAGAACGGCTGTACTTGCGCAAGAAGCCGCGAGTGTAGACATAGCCTAACAGATTAGGCAGAGGGTATATAAAGTACAACAAAAGAAAAGTTACTTATCAAGTGTAGGATTAGTGTTAATGAGGCTAATCAAGTGAGGAAGTTATGCATTCACAGTAGCTGATGGGGAGATCTGAATATCAAGAGAGGGGAAATTGCCTTTGCAGTGCATTAACCAGTTTAAATCTTTATTCAGGCCTAATGTGAGTGTATTGAATTTGCAAATGAGTTGCAGTTCAGTTGAGTTGGCACAGAGTGGCACTGCTGGCACAGATCACATTAATGGATGAGCCCTTGAAGGTGTGGCTTGTGATTAGGTGCTACGATGATATCGCTTGTATAAATATGTGGACAGAGTTGGCAATAGGGCTTGTGGCAGAGATTGGTTCCTGGTTAAGTGTTTGTCATGTGGTGTGTGGCTGCTTGTGAGTATTTGCTTAAGTTCAGGTGCTGTCTGTAGGCGAGCATTGGCCTGTCTCCCAACAGCTGAGAGAGTAAGGGGTTGTTTTCCAGGATAGATTATCGATTGTCAGTGATACACTGGAGGGATTTCAGCTGAGGACTGTAGAAGATAACGGGGGGGTGTTCTCTTATTTTCCTTATTGGGCCTGTCCTCAAGTGAGTGAGTTCCAGGTACTCGTCTGGCTCTGTCAATCTGTTTCTTTGCTTCTCCAAGTGGGCATTTATTTGTACTCTAATGTCCAGGAAGGGGATCTCTTGTGTGGACTGGTCCAGGCTGAGGTTGACATTGGAGTGGAAATTGCTGTGGGTATGTAGAACACTATATTATCATTGAAGGGCCATACACAAGTAGACAATGAAGGTTGTGCACTGATCTAATAGGTCTCATCTCTTACTTCATGCATATTATTTACCTAATTTTATTATTTGTATTGCAGTAGACGAGAACTAGGATACGTCATCCATGGTCAACTGACCGACGGAGGCCAACAAATTGCAGTAGACCCACGTGTGACACTCAACCTTGGGCATTCTAACCCCTATATTCCTCATTTTTATATCCTTATGATTTTACACAAAGAATGCCATGGAAGGTATCAGAAGAAAGATGGTGATCTTCTGAAAGTCATTTATCTAGCTGTATATGTATATCCTTACTATACATGAAGTTATGAGGAACTGTTGTATGGTTGTTACTAAAACATTTTAAGTTGGTGATTCAGCCAGATATTAGCTTCCCTGAGACAACAGGAAAGAGACTAACCAAGCCCTGGGTGGGTGTCACCGGCCATTGTCCAGCATGGGAGCTACAATGGAATGACTCACCTGTATGAAGCTGCACCAGCAGAATTGCTCCAACTTCGCCTGGAAACTCAGCAATGGTCCCAGATATGCCTAGACTTGTGCTTTCCAGCCACATGGACTGAGGGTATAAAAACCAAACACGGGGACCTATGTGTTGCCTTTTGCTTACATCATTGTAGAGAAGGAAACAATTATACTCTGAAGACTCCAGCAGGTGGAATGACTCATCTCAACAGTGAAATCTGTGCAATATCCAGTGAGGTGAGAAACTGTTTGGCATGGCCAGTTGGTGATGGTAGGCCTGGGGGAGGCAAGCGCCCAATCCTACCCCTTCAGCCAAGCCTCCCCCTCTCCCCCTACTCCCTCATGGGGAGGTGGCGCAGCATGCTGTGCACTTCCTCACCATCATGTGGAAGACAAACCTGCGTGGCCCAAGCCTCCCCAGCCCTGGGAGCACGGGGAGGGAGGAGGGCATGTGCTTCCAGCCCCAGCGCATGGGGAGGGCGGGCAACACATGGCCCCAGCTGCCCCGGCCCTGGAGCAGGGGGAGGGCAAGCACTGGGAGCAGCAACACTCTGCCCCCAGAACACCTACAGCAGTGTGTGGGCAGAGCCAGGCTGGTGGCTTGAGAAGGCATTGCCTTCCCGTGCCTGGGATACAGGCTGCCCATGCTGTTTGGTCTAGTTGTTGCCCAGCCTGACAGGGGTGTGAGTTTAGACCACATGTTTATGTTTTATTTTGATAACTACTCTTTTTAGACTAAAATTTATAGTCACTTATTAACTACAAATATAGAATGTAAGCTTCTCTGTTTACCTTTAGTAGTGAGTTTGTACATAGAACAAAAAGATCATCTCTGCCCTAAGGAACTCACAATCTATAAACAGAATACAAAAAGTGTAAGAAGGTGGATACAGCCAGACCAACAGGATCAAAAGGAAACAAGGACATCAATTACTCTCCAATTCTTTACTAATCAAGTCTCTTATTAGCCACTCCATTATCTTCTCTGAGATCAATGTCAAGCTGATAGGCCTCTAAATACCCAAGTCCTCCTGTTTAGCCTTTTTAAAAATTGGCACATTGCCTTTCATCTGGTCTTCTGGAACTGCCTCAGTGCTCCAAGACTTATTGAAAATGAAGGTTAATAGTCTACAAAACTCTTCAGCCACTCTTTTAAAACTCTTGGGCACGTCTACACTCGCGGCTTCTTGCACAAGTACAGCTGTTCTTGCGCAAGAAACTGCAGAGCGTCCACACTCCCCGCCCACTCTTGCACAAGGACATTTACAGTATGGCATGGTTCCTTGCTCAAGAGTTATGCTCTTTTTTATCAGGTGTAAGCCCTCTTGCGCAGGAGGGCCATGTGGATGCTCGGCAGGGATTTCTTGCGCAAGAAAGCTCTATGGCTAAAATAGCCATCAGAGCTTTCTTGCGCAAGAGAGCGTCCACACTGCCATGGGCCCTCTTGCACAAAAACACAGCTCGCACATGGCAGTGTGGATGTTTTCTTATGCAAGACTTCTGGCACAAGAAGCCGCCAGTGTAGACGTATCCTTCGATGTAAGTTACCTGGACCTCTGATTTAAACATGTCTAACTTTAGTAGCTTCTGTCTAACATGCTCCAAAGAGTATCATCATCATAGGAGGAAACTACATAATCTGTTTTTCCCCAAGTGCAGCAAAGATATATTTTTGAACACTTCTGCATTTCCTGCATCATCATTAATAATTCTACCATTTCCATCTGGTAGCAGACCAATATCATTTTTAAAATTATTTTTGCTTCTTATATATTTTAACAACTCCCTTTAAAAATTCTTCCCTCACAGGTCATATTTTCTAGATCTTTTAATCATGTTTGTTGCTCTTCTCTTGACTTTCTCCAATTTGTCCACATCTTTCCTGAAATATGGCACTCCAGAACTGGATACAATACTCCAGCTGATGCATAATCAGTGGACTAATTACTTCTCATTTCTTATTTGCAATATTCGTACTTAATTCATCCCAGAATTATGTGGGTGTGTGTTTGCGCAAAACAAAACAAAAAAAAAAACCCCAAACCATGTTACACTATTGATTCTCATTTAGCTTGTGGTCCATTATGACTTTTAGACCTCTCCTCAGTACCCCTTCCTAGGCAGTCCTTCCCTATTTTGTAAGTGTGCAACTGACTGCTCCTTCCCACATGGAGTATTTTGCATTTGTCCTCATTGAATTTCAGACCATTTATGCAGTTTGTTCAGATAATTTTGAATTATTATCCTATCTTCCAAAACACTTGCAATCCCTCCCATTTTAACATCTGCAAACTTTGTAATTGTACTCTACACTATTCTCTAAATCACTGATGAACATAATTAACAGAACTGGACCCAGAACAGTTCCCTGTGGATCCACAGCAGAAGAGACTCAGTCTTTGTGTAGCAGATCAAAACACTAAGCCATGCACCCTCCAGTCTTCACCACATAGAGTGGTTCCCTGCATGCACCTGTGCCTTCCTCTCTGCTGGGATTTTAAAGGCAGGTTGGGTGAATCAATGCTGACTCAGAGATCATTTAATTTACATTGCTTTTCCTAATGTAGCATCCACAGGTTTGAAGAAAAAAATTGTGATCCTGGCTCTTCCACTTCTTATCTGACCACTTTTTTGCTGCAATTCAGGAAAGTTATGATAGGGAAACACCAATTATTCCCCCTCAAAGTTCATCCTTGCGTTCCTAGAGAAAATGCACTTTGTTTGTGCAAATTTCAGATTATGTAAAGGGTCCTGATCCCCATCCCCCACAAGAAGCTTGGATCATCAGGCATAATTTTTCAACAAGGAGCAGGGGACTATAAGAGCCTTAGTGTTTGGGAACCAGCTGGTGACACCTTGGAGGTCCCTGACTGTCAGAAGGTGACTGTAAAACCACTTTAAGTATCTGAAGCTGAGCGCACACAAAATTGAGGCACCCAAAATTGATAGTCACTCTTGAAGATTTCATGCTGTTTTTATTAATAGTAACTGCTGAGCATCAACACTATGATCAGCATTGGATGTACATGGTCCCCATCAGATAGACCTGCACCCAAAAATATCATCATCTGAGACAAACCAAAGACAACTGATCAGACACAGGTCATTATATACAACAGGTTTTTCTCAAACTGTGAGCAGTGTCTGGGAGAAGCTCAGAACTCTTCTTTGTCCTCTGTATTTACCAACTGAAAAAGAAGTGCAAAAAGAAGAAACTGCTGACTATTGTGGACTTCTCTGCTGCCTACAGTCTTTCCTTGACATCCAGGCTGGGTGCAGAGTGTGAGCAGGGATTCGCCTTCAGGATCCTGTCTGGACATTTGGAGCATTGCTATGGTGCGAATATTAAGAGCAGGGAGACTGTTTCCCTGGAAGAAGACAGGTGTTCTCCTGCAGGCATCTCGCATGTATGGTGGGTGGGTGATGGTAATGGGTAACAATAGGCATGAATGCAGTCTTGGCTGCTGAGGCAGAGAAAACCAAGTGGTGGAGATAGGCTGTTGGGGATGGAGTCTTGAAGGGGAACAGACTGGGAGGACCAAATAGTAGTATGAGCTGGGGAGCTCCCCTTACAGACCTATTATTTTATACCTCCACTCAGCCACACTCCCCAGCATGTGCCCCCCACTGGAACCCTGCTCCTTTGGAGGAAGGACTCCTTGGTCACCCTCCAGCTCAGCTCAACACTCTCCACACCTCAGCATATAAGAGACAAGCCTCGTGGGAGGGTCTGCTACAGCTGTATATCCCTTGAATGTCTAGTGCACCATTAACTGCTGGCCTGTGGGAAACTGTGTGCAGGAAGTGGGGCTGTGAGCCCATCTGCTTTGATAAAAATGGGGCCAAATGGTAAAGATTTTGGGGCACCCTGGAATAGAGGGTCTGTAAGTTTCTACCATTGGAGTAACCATGGAAAGACTTACAGAAGGAGCATGTAGTAGAGGGATTTGGAGGAGGAAGGAGTAGGCATAGAGCACACTTATCAGGAGTATGTTACAGACAGAAGAGACCATGCAAGAAAGCAGAGAGAAGTGCAAGGAAAAGATAGTGTAATGTGAAGACAAACACACCAAACCCACAACACAAATATAAATAATTGTTAAGGCCTGAAATGTTGCAGCATTGCAAACTCTACGGCTATGTCTACACTGGCGCGATCTTGCACAAAAGCGGCCACTCTTGCGCAAAAACTTGCTGCCTGTCCGCACTGGACGCGTGTTCTTGCGCAAGTAAACTGACCTTCTAATGTATGAAATCAGGGCTTCTTGCGCCAGAACTCTGACGCTCCCACTCAGGAATAAGCCCTTTTGCGCAACTGTTCTTGCACAAGAGGCCAGTGTAGTCAGGCAACATGAATTTCTTGCGCAAGAAAGCCCTATGCTTAAAATAGCCATGAGAGCTTTCTTGCGCAAGACAGCGTCTACACTGGCATGGATGCTCTTGCACAAAAGCACATCTCTTGCGCAAAAGCACATGCCAGTGTAGATGCTCTCTTCTGGAAGAGTTTTTGCAGAAGAACTCTTCCGTAAAAGAGTTTTTGCGTGAGAACGCACCAGTGTAGATGTAGCCAGAATGTTTAAAAATCATGTCTCAGGACCCCCAAATCATAACATTGGCTTAATCATGACATTTTAAAAATAATAAATGTGGGGAAGCTTTTATTTGCCTTTTAGTTTCTGAGCTCTTATCAGGACCCTGTTTTCAAGTCAGGACCCTGTTTTCACCACAGCCGTAAGGGCTAGAAATTTCCTCCTTTATAAAATGAAAGCTGAGATTCACATGCATTTTCTTGACTCTAGATAACTGGGACACTCAGTTATCACCAATGTGAGACCTACAATAAGATTGTGAGAGCTGGCAACACTGTGTTGACAGAGAATTTGCTCTGCTGCCTAACTAGAACATTTCCTGTTCAGAGAGCATATTGCTTCAGCATTACTTATCTGTGCTGGAGGTTCCGGGTCCCTTTGAACAACAACTTGTGCCCATCTGTTTCCCTCTGTGTTGTGCAACAGAGGAGAGTGTGCTCCTATATAACTTAAGATCATAGACTGCAATTAGAAGGCATGGCTCCCCTCTCAGGGAGGCCAGTTTTACAGCTCTGCACATCAATTAAAATTGGTTGCACCTAATTTACAGCAGCATACGTGAAAAGAGAACCAAGCTCAATATTTTTGTAATGTATCAGCTAAGTGGTAAATTTCCAGGAGAGAGGCACAGTAAATAAAATATGTTGT